TCATTTTTGTGAATAGATATTTTAACTCCTGAACTCATACTCTTCTCCATCTATGCATACTCAGTTACTCTATCAATTATTTCACCAAGTGTTAAATATTTCTGATAACCATAAAATAAAATCTTTGATAAAAATAGTTAATCATGCTTTGCTGTGTCGATTCGTACACTCATAATAAAAAGATAGATGCTACTCAAACTTGGTATTTATTTCTAATTCTATTTTAACTAAAGTGTATTTGCTGCCTTCGATGAATCTGCTTATCAATAACAATGCTAACAATAATCAGTATAACAATTTCCTAATTACTCAGTTATAATAGAAATAGACATACCACATGAATTTTTAATTAACTGGAATTTTTGAATTCGGTGATTGTTGAAATCACTCACAAATATGTTTCCAGCTGTGTCGAAAGCCATGGTTTGTGAATAATCTAGTTGACTTGATGTTATTCCACTGTTACCCGAACATCCAACCAAACATTTGAATCCATTTGGAGTTGATCGGATGATTCGATGATTTTGACTTTCCACAATATATAGATAACCGTCGGCATTGAGCGCAATATCTGTTGGCCTATTGAGTATGAAGTATACCATTGCTCCGAAACCAGCAATTGTTTTGGCATTTTTGTTACCAGGTACGAAAAATTGAATTCTGTTATTACCAGTATCAGCTACATATAAATTGAGTTTATTATCGACGAAAATTCCATGCGGATGATCAAGCATATTTGGTACAGGACCAGAGCATCCTGTGCCTGCCACTACTATCGGTACGGTTTGTCCATTGTTGATCGGTATCTTAATCACATGATGTTTATTAGTCGATGAACAATATAAATGGTAGTTGATGTCGACGAAAAGACCTGTACACCAACCATGGACATTCATGGCAATCTCACTTTGCGTTGCGTTAAATGTCCATTTATTGACGTAACCATTTTCATTAGCATTGTCAGCATAAATGTCACCATCGATTGTGACAAAAAGGCTCCATATATTGGTCGAATTTGTCGAAATAGTTATTGTTGAAGTTGAACATCCCATTTGTCCATACTAAAATTTGGCCACTTTCCTGATTAACTACGTAAACGGCGTCTTGATCATTAATGAAAAGACCAGCGGGTTCTTGTCCAACGAAATTCTCTTCAGCAAATGTCATCGCATCTTTTTTCCATGATGCACAAACACTGAGATTAGGTCGATTGTATGAGACAGCTCAAAAATCAAGCAGAACTTTGTTGATTATTATCATAGGTTCCTGTGATTCCTCTGTTTAATAAAAGTATCTAGATTATCAATGAAGTGGCTATAGCATACTTCGCAGAATAGTCCTATAAGAATTCTTCGGAATGTTTTTCTCACTTATCACTTATGCTCATACACAACCGTATATTATTTAACAAAATCGGACAACAACAATCATTCTAGATGATTGTTTACAGAAGTGTCATAATATTCTTAACCTCGGTATCAAGATTTACACATAATTATTACTAATAAAAATTGCATACTGAGTCTACTATTAATCGTTAGTACTTAAACTTAAGTTTTTTCTCTCTATCTATAATTTACTAAAACTTAATTGAGCAAGTGTTGTGCGTGCTAGTAATACTATTCGAATTAATTTTTCTCGTTCGAGAATATGTACTTTGCAAGAATAGTTTTATTGTAAAAAGGTTGGTTGACAGCATACAATTTCATCTTGGGAAGTTTAACAGAGTCAGTTTCCAAAACTCCTTGTCAATTTGTGTTTAAAAACTCGTTACTTGAAGTAAGCTATACAGCACTTAGAACTATTTAAGCTCAACACAGAGTTCATCCTCCTTCAAAATAGATTCGAGGTTAAGTAAATCCAGATTGTATTATATTTTCAGGATATGTTTTGACATATAACGGAGAGAATAAGCTAAAATTTTTAGCCCCACACCACGCAGTTTTCAGAAGATAAGTATCAGACAAGAATTGGAAACAACTCATTTGGTCTTTCAATAGACTTTTTAGGAGTTTATTCTCTATGTTCAACTTCTTTTGATTGCAAGAGCATGTAAGCTCGAAAAAACTTCGTTTTTTGAAGGAAGTCCGTAAATGTCACAGCTAGTGCATTAAGTAATGCCTACCATCTATTGTTTGTGAACATTAATTTTTAGGTAAAGCTACTTAAGGTTTACCTTAATTCATAACATTAAACTAAAATCGAATCCGTTCGTATTACAGATAAGATAAGAAAAGTAATCTACTAGTTCATAATCTTTAGACTTCAATACTTTTAGAAGACATTCTGTGAAATCATTTTGGTGAGAAAAACGTGTAATAGTTTTACACAAAACTTATTATATCCCGCAACCTTACTAAGGTTCTACTTATCTGAGCAATATCTTATAAGGTCTATTAAAGTTCCATGGTATACCTCTTTTTTAGTGTATGTGCAGCCTTTCTTTTCATTCTCATATACCTTAATAGTTGAGATACTCGTGAACAGTTTGTGAAAATTTTTCACAGCGCAACGATTGATTACTCTGTAGATTGTTGCTACAGTGTACACGTCTTGTCTCAACATCACAAACTCATCGCATGAAAACTTAAATATGCGCTCACTCACATCTATACCTAAGATCGTATTCGAACACATGAGAATATTCCTAATTTTCATAAATTACACTCTTATGTGAAATCAGTAATAATTCTACGTTGCGAAATCATGTCTTACAAAAAAAATTCGTCTTTATCTGAGGCGTTGCTAATGACCAAGAAAATCATCATGAACCAAATGAATATTTTCAACGATGTGAGTTGTGTCTGTAAATACCCTTTTGCTGCTTTATATATTATCAGTATAGCATACGAGTTAAATCAATAAAACTTGTCGCTTGTAATGCTATATCATACATTTTCAATACTGAGTTTTACAGTAATCCGATCTTTAAAATAGATTTTATCACGTCGTTTACAGTTATTGGCGTCAGAGAAAAATAACTTTCAAAAAAAGATAGAAGTTAGGTGTTTGTTCTCTATACTGCCGGCATAGGAATGATTATATACTGTCTTCCAGGATTTTCCAATAGATCTATTCTATTCCATGTATGATAAAAAATGTTCAAAGAATTCTCTTGAGTAGTTACTGATCAAAGTCTTTCCTGCTGAAAGAAGTAAGGGGTAGTGCTCAGCAGAATGCATATTGTTGTGAAGAACATCATAGTGCTCACTCAGTGGGCGTAGTACTAAATAGTACCTCATAGCAGTTAGAAGATGGTTTTGATGTTTATAAGAAGTAGTGTAGTCGTTTGGAATAATTATTGCTTGTATGAAATGAGTGTCGACATAAAAAGGAAGTACTGAATAGGGCTACCGAATTTTAGGAATTTCGCTCCATGGAATCTTCAGTCGAAACTTTCATCTCTTAATTGAATCAATTTCATTGAGCCCTAAAATATGAGGACCAACTTTTTTAATTTATGTGCCAGATATCGTCATGCTGTGCATAGAATGTTGTAATAGGTGAGTGTGTCTATTAAGAGAAGACTCAACTTCATATGCTAAACTCTCATCCAAATCATACCCACACCCTTACACTTTGGAAGCTATCTCATCCTCTATTTCTACCTCTAGAAAAAATTATTAATATAATTGTTTTTCTTTCATATTTATAGTTAAATCATGTCAGATATTATTTAAATTGTAAATTATCATAGTATCTGTTATTCGTGACTTTGATGTTATGCGCATTAATTATAATAAGCACATATATCTCATTGTGATGACTATCTATGTGTAATCTTCTTTTATTTCAATGCCAATTTCAAATTTCCTATAGAGTAGATAGATATGATAGTTTAATTTTTTTTACCATTGTTCATTTCAATAATGATCAAGTCTAAGAACTCTCAGATAGCTTCATAAGGGTGGGTGTGAGTATCTACTCTTCACACATCCACACCCATCTTCGACGGCAAAATCGTAAAGAAAAGCTTCTGAGTCGTTTGCATAAATGTCTTTTTCTTAAAAGGTTGCAAGAAAATACATAGTTCGTAGGAGATTACAAAACAAAACTCTCGTTTGAGGAGAAATGAACTAAACTTTGCACAATTTATTAACTTTTTCCTAAACTTCGCCTTTTTGCATAAAACTTGGTTGAAAATAACAACAGTTCGATTAATTTTTATATAACTAGACAATACGACACCAGCTCTAATGTGAAAATATTTGATCCTTTCTCTCAATCTTAACCATCTGGAATCGCCACTCGTGTAACAAGATCTATACCAGTTAATTTGAATAGTTAGCGTTTATTTTAATTCAGCATTTTCGCTTTGTTCACCAAAGTCGATTTATGCTGAAAACTGCTTTATTATAGACACTTTCTTTGTGAAAGATGAACATTTTTGATTATTTCTCACAGGAATACAGTTCAATATAAACTCTTTTTGCAAACGCTACATTTTTCTCCGCAGTTTCTCTTGTAGAACAGCCTTGAATTTTGAAAATAACTAATGTACTCCATGGATGTATCCCATCTAGAAAAAAATTGTAACTCAAGTGTACCCCACTCGGGATCTTTTGTATCCCATTTGGGATCTTGCGAGTTGACAAGCCAAGTTAATAGACATACATTGAACTTCCTTGATTAGATTTTCGTCTATAATAGTAGAAAAACAGTATTCTTTTGAGAGAATCTATTTGTATGATATTAGTCAATATGAAGATTAACATATTATTTAAATCGATTTCATTGACCGTTTACATTCGATTAAGTAAAAACGAACATATATGTTCTTAATGTTCTATTCTTTAATTAAATGTAAATGTTTATTGAAATATGCTATTTAATTAAATAATGATAATATTTCCAATAGATTTATTTATTATGATAAGCTATATTATTTTGTTTCTCCTTAGTATACTTATCAAAATATTTTATATCGATATGAGAAAAATTTTTTTTTTTCTTTTTCTTTTTTCGAGAAAAAAAAACAAGTCAAAAATTTTTCTATTCTATTAAAACAAAAGAAGAAAAAAATTGAAATAAGATTGATATGCAATAAAGACACAATGATAAGTAACAATTTGTAATGATGATGTTGAAAATGATTCTTTTTTTATTATCATTCTTATTAAATATTGTTGATAATAAATTTTTTTCTTTATGACGAATTTTTTTCGATTATGTCGAGGAATTGTATTTGAACGATGATGACTAATAAATTTTCTTCATTTTTATTTGAAATAATTGTTTCAACTAACTTCGAATTAAGTTTTTGAGATGTTGAACTTAATAATGAAGAATTATTTACTGTTTCAATTGATTTACCTTAAACAGTAAGATTTTAAATGATAAAACAAATTTATTTTAAGAAAAAAATTCTATTGTAAAATAATTAATTATATGAAAATACTATCGAAAATAATAACCAAATTCTTAATATGAGAAAATGAATCGATGTGAAGCTAGCACGAACACCAATCAAAATCAATGTCCCACCGACAAATCAATATCCGCACATATTTTCCCACTTACAATTCATGATATACCAACACAACTTTCCTTAGCAACCGGATAGAAAAAACGATGAAAACCATATCCATGTGAAGCTAGCACGAGCACCAATCACACTTGATCTCTCCTTCAACCAATCACCATTCATCCATAGTTTACCACAATGATTCCATACTATACCAACATACTTTCCTTAGCAACCATACCCAAAATTCCACCACATCCTAAAACTATTCATTCCATACCAATTAACCAGGGAAAACCTACAAAAAACTCCTCGACCGACAAGACACACACTCACGCACATCATACGATCCATTTCCATATTCAGATCGACTCCAGTACACTCAACTTCTATAAAACGACATAATGAATATACCACACGAGAGAGAATTTCCTTCTCCATACGATGGTGTATTTTCTATAGAGAGAATCGATTTTCATCGAGGCTCTTAACGGGAACAAAAAAATCCGATTAGCATATCTCATATGGTGATATCAGATATTAAGGCCCCATTCTTCTGGACTCAATTTCCATTTCTGGGAGAGAATGAATATACCATTAAATAGAGAATTTAATTCTCTACAAAATGGTGTATTTCCTATACAGAGAATCGATTTTCATCGAGGCTCTGCACGGGAAAAAAAGATCCGATTAGCACATCGGATATGATAATATCGGATATTAAGGCCCCTCCTTGTGGATTCAATTTCCATTGCCGGGAGCGAATGAATATACTATTAAATAGAGAATTTAATTCTCTACAAAATGGT